TGCAGCATCACATGGCGTATAATTATATGTGTACACAAAACGGTTAAGTTCTTCTTCTAATGGTGAAGTTGAATCCACACACATAGAACGTTTCATCGTGCCCACCATTCTCTCAGCTTGTCCGTTTGATTGAGGATGACCAGGAGGACTACGAAGATGAAGAATATTAAAATCAGAACATAATTGAGCAAAATCCACAGAGGTAAATTGCGTTCCGTTGTCAGATACAAGAACTTCTGGTGGACCATATCGACAAAATAGTCTACGAAGATATCGACATGTTGCAGCCGTTGTAATTGTTGAAAAACATGCAGCGTCGACAAACTTAGAATAACTGTCAACAACAATGAGAATCCATTGATTATGAATGGGTCCTGCAAAATCAATATGTATTTGAGTCCACGATTTCTTAGAATCAGACCGTGGATGAAGAGGTTCCTTTGGAGGAGTTGCTGCAGTTTGACTGCAATGATTACAGTTCTTCACAAAAGCTTCTATGTCATCATGCATAGCGGGCCAATAAAAGTATCGTCGTGCAAGTTGAACCATTCGACGAATTCCTGGATGTGCTATGTGAAGAGTTTTTAAAACAATATGGCGCATACTCCGAAGAATTACAACTCTGTCATCAGAAACTAAAATCTTTTCAACAACAGATAAACGCTCGCGTCGACGATAATACGGAAGTAATTGTTTATCCTTAGCATCGGATCTCAACCAGCCAGTTTGCAAGCGATCTATGACCTCAGCAAGAACTCCGTCACTAAAAATTGCTTGTTGTAATTGCTGGCGATTAACTTGAGGAAGAAGCTTGATAGACTCTTGAGTCATTTGAAAAATTTCGGTTTCCTCTTCTTGAAGAGAAGCAATCACTTCTTCCAAATCTGGATCAACTTCTTGTCGATCTTCTTGGATGAGTCTTGATAGCGCATCGGCTTGTCCAAAATTCTCCGTTTTGACGTATTCGATTTCAAAATCGTATCCAATTAAACGTAGAGCCCATCGTTTAAGACGGTTCGCCGTGCGAGTATCCAGGCCTTTTGTAGTCCTAAAAAGAGCTAGAAGAGGACGATGATCTGTCTGCAAAACAAAATGACGACCAAAAATAAACTTTCGAAAGCGTTCTACAGCAGTAACCAAAGCTAGCGCTTCCTTTTCAATCTGGCTATAATTCTGCTGAGCTTTCGTTAAAGTTTTTGACATGTGAAAGACAACTTTCGTATGTTCATCTGGAGAGCGTTATAAAAGAACACCTCCTATTCCCGTTGAACTTGCATCCGCAGTAACAATTAAAGTTAACTTAGGATTATAATGAGCCAACAAAAAAGGTCCTGAAAGAATATGTTTAATGTCATCAAAACCCATACAGAACATAATATCTGTTAGATATCTATTCAATATCCTTATATCCATGATAGGATATCCATAAATCTCTAATAAATAGCTAGTAGATATCCTTTATACATCCAAATGTCCGCAATACGAGATC